AGTCAAAATAAAAAAAAAATGTTAAAACATAGTTTGTCATTGTCCTAACCTCTATACACTTAATCGACCACCATAGGATTACACAAACACAAATTGAACTGATAGTACATCAATTGATATTAAAGTGTAGAAAGAAGATTGAAGGTATTCTCAAGTTTTTAAATTTCTTCAATGGCTTTTGATCGATGGTCTTGAAATCTTATTCTTCTTTATATTTCAAGTAATTGTGTCTAAGTCGATGAGAGATTAACTATTTTGTGTATCAAAAGCTTCTTTCCCTTGAATTATAGATGAAAGTATGTATTTAGAGTTCCAAAATTAAATCAAAATCTCGTGCCCCAGTTACATTCCTTTTAGATGTTGAATCAGATTAGGAAACATGAATCTGCCTTGCTCGCAACACAATGCGATCTCATGGTGTTCTTTGGTTTTCCTTTTTTCATTTGCTAGTAGTAAAAATAATTTCATTGCGATCTCATGGCATCTCTTTTTTGTCCCCATTCAATTTAGACTTTCTTATTTGGTTCATCTCGACTCCTCTCTTATTTGCACCATGTGTCCATCTTAAATCTTCACACTTCGATCCTCATTATCCACAATCATCTGTAATTGATACGTTTTCAAGTTCTGAAACTTTGTAATTGTAACGCCCCGAGATTTGTTCATTTATTATTATAAATAAAAATAGCTCGAGGTGTTACCAACATTTTTTTTGTCTAATTTAAGTGGAAATATCATTTTCACTAAGTGTTGAAAAGGCATAAACATAACTATTAAACAACGTGCACAAAATTAAATATGAAAACGTTCTTCAAATAAAAGTTTAACAATTACCTTTTCTAGAAAATTTACTTGGCGATCCCATAAGTATCACTCAGTCAATTTTCCATTCTTCCAAACGACCCGTTCTCATCTGAAAGGTATTGTAAAAGTGAATATTTTGAAAACACTTAATAAGAATATGTACACACTCTTATTCGTATGATATAAATATAAAACTAATATAACATACCAACATTTCTTAGATTTAGAATTCAAGGAATTTCTTAAGAATCTTCATATCCCCTAGGATTTAACATCTTTGACCAAACAATCCATCCCGTAGAATTTAACATCTTTGACCAAACAATCCATCCCGTAGAATTTAACATAGAGTTTGACCCGAAGGCCTCATAACATTTTAGGCCAAAAATTATACAAATATCAAAGAAAAAGAATTTACCACTTTGCACGATATATTCTTATCTCAAATGATATAAGAAAATTCTAAAAATATTCCTTGAGACAATAATTAAAATGGGTAGGATGTTTGTAAGAGAGAAAAAGCCCAACTTGTGAAATTCTAGAGGTGATTGGTGAAATAAAAAAATACTTCTATTTAATAGGTGGGGTTAACGTGTGTGAATGTGTGGGATCACCTTTTGCATGGCAAGAGAAAAGATACTTCACATATACATTGTATATATGCACACAATATCCACCTGAATGAATGTCAATCGTCCACAAATTTCGAAACGTAGAAGAAAAATTTAATTGATCAATTATTATATTTTTTTTACTGTCAATTATTAGGTGTGTAAATAAAAAAAGAGTAATTACTTGTTTATTACTTAACTGACTTGTTTACGTTTTATATTCATTGCAAATGTCACTTCAAATTTCCGAGTAGTACCTGACATGAGTTTATTGATTTGTGTGTTTCTCTCTTTTCTCTTTTTATTATTTTTTTTTCCCAATGAATAGACGTTTCTATTTTGATATTTCAAATGAATGGTACAATTCAATTTATTTTATACTTATATAATAATATTTTTTTAAAAAAAATAAAATGTAGGATTTATATAATTTTCTTCATATAAAAATAACTTAGATACAGCTAGTTCAAAATTATTTCTTCTTGAGCCAAATTATGTTATTTAATAATCAAAAATGAGTGTAATATCGATATATTTATTTTTATTAACAAAAAAATATTTAAATATTTGACCCAAATAACTTACGATAAATTCTAAATATACGTGAGCAAAATAAATCATCAACCTTTGTACTTTTAGTGTGACGACAAATTTAAACATGAATTATTTCATTTGTTAAATGACCCATATTAAGTTTAGGCCTATATGAAAAATAGTAAAAAAAAAATTCGGGATGTTACAGTAATTGAATCCTTAAACTTTTAGAATATTGAATTTAGCTCTCGAAACATGTAAATCTTCTTCAATTGCCCTCTTTATACTCATTGATCACATACAATTTATATGGTATCCAATTGTTCCAAAACAACTCCAATTAAGATCAAAATTGTCTCCCTTCACTCCGGCTCCTTTCAAGTCCAGGTTTTCTCATATAATTAATATAAATATTCATAAAGTAAAAAAAACATTAATAAACGTTTAGAACATACTTATCAGGTACCATATTGAAATTTCTAGCTATTATTAATCGATACAAATTGCGACCCATCTTGCCAATAATTTAATTCTAGCAATGATAAATCTTCGAACGTACAAATTAGTCATCACGATCGTTCTATTTAAAAAATCCTATATTCCATGGACACCGTTCCTTGAAGCTTGGCAATTGTGATCTAGATAAATTCTTCTGCATTACCAAAATTAATTAATTAGTTAATTAATTAATAATTCTCAAATTGTTAACATGTGGTGAATCTGAGAAGGAATTACTGCGTTTTGCTTTGACTTCGATGGCAATGGTTAAATGTTAATGAGAGTGAAGCATAATTATGAGTGGTTTTACAAAGAATCATGTCAATAAAAACATTTTCTCAGAGTGGTCAAGGTTTCTAATTTATATTATGAGATAGAATAGTGTTATCACGTAGTGTTAAGCAGGTGTTTAGGTAGAAGTGATTCCCTACCTTTAAATGTTCATGAAATAATGCTATTCATTAAAATGTGTTAAGCAGGTGTTTAGGTAGAAGTGATTCCCTACCTTTAAATGTTCATGAAATAATGCTATTCATTAAAATGTATCACAATTTCTTATTAAACAATGAATCAAGAGTCTATTGTTACTTTGACTCATGATGATCAGAAATTGTATCAAAATTTCGTTGGACGATTAAAAATAAATAATTATTGTGATTTAGACCGTTGTCAAGCATCACTTATATTAGATAACATAACTATATAACATGAAAGAGTAATATAGCCCTTGTTTGAGCCATATTTTCAGACACAATAAATGAGAATTTCTACCGTTGGGGAACAATTTCAACCATCATATTTGATTTCATCTCTCTTAGATGGGACCCGTTTTTGAAAATAATGGTCTAAATTTTTCTACTTTCTTCCTTGAAAATATGGCTCAAATGGGGGCTTAATGATATTGACTAATCGATTGAGTAATATGACTCTCGTGTCTATGCATTTAATTGATCATCAATGATGATAAATAGCATTTTTTGATTTGAGTATAGGGTGATATTTTAATATCAAGATAAATAGTAGTGGTGGTGTTGATTTGCTTAGTCTCTGTTTCTATAAATTTATAAATGGTTTCAATCAAAATTAATTATTAATTTTAATCATACATTTTCAATGAATATACAATTCGTTATTATTTACGTATTTAATCCTGTTTTTTAGAAAGGGTGATTAGCACAAAACGTCCCTACCTTTGGAGGTTTTTGTGGATAACGTCCCTACCTTTAGTTTTTTGGTGGATAACGTCCCTACCTTTACCATTTTTTGCGCAGAACGTCCTTCTGTCAATTTACCGTTAAAATGTTCCGTTAAATCAAATAAAATGGATCTTTTCTTTTTAAAATGCAGGGGTCATATCGTCCATCAATATTTTTTTCACTGTGTAATCTCTCCCGCCTCTTCATTTTACGCATAACCGACCCTTTCTCTGGATGAAGCGAAGGGGACGACACTGTTTCTTCTTCCTGCCCAACCATATTTTGTGCGCATTTCGGTTACCCTTTTTTCCTCTACGGTGATCACCCTCGTTGTCGCGCAGTCGAAGCACGCTTGAGGCAATTTGAAGCGAGCGAAGGTAAGAGATGTTTGGGCTTGGGTTTTTATGATTTCAAGTTAGGGATTCGGCCTTTTTTTCATGATTTAGTGTTTTAATTGAATTTTCTACTGCTTTATTATTGTTGTGCAGGCAGAGAAGGACCCATTACAGAATGGAAGTCCAAAGCTGCCAAACTTGCTCCGTCTTCACCCGAAGCCGCTGAAGGAGATGAAATAGGCAGGGGTGAGTTACCACCCATTCCCAATTTTATCCTTACAAGTTATTGTGATTTGTGAATATGTGAAGAGATTTTGAAAAAAAAAGCATTTTTGTGAGCATATTGGTTAAAATTTCTTACATATGGCCAATGGCAGGTATATGCTCCTTCCATGAGCAACATGTTACCTCCGATTTTGAGAGATCTTGGAGACAGTCCACCCATTTATGGTATAGTCTTACATCTATACATTTCTGCCTGCATTAATTTCTCCCAAAACTCCCCAATTTATTACTTGATAATGGTTTTCTAATTCCCTACCATTTGCATGCAGGTGCTAATTCTCCATATTTCACCGTTGAATTACACTACGGCGGCAAATTTTATGAAAAACCAAACAATTTGGTGTATGAAGGGGGCTATATGGTTTTTATTGATTTCTTTTGTGCTGCGTTGTTTACGAAAGAGAATTTGATGAAATTCTTACGTGCAATTGGTGATGAAATANTTGCCGTTGCATGCGAATGAAGTTGATGATGACCAACCATTGGAAGGTTGTTATGTACCAATTGTTGAAGAGAACGAAGGAGCAGAGCCTGAAGTTGCTTGGTCAGATCAATTTTTTGAGGACAATGCTGAAGAGTTGTGGGCACAATATAAGGAAAGTTTACAATATCACTATGATGCGAATCCAAATGTCGGTGATATGAGTGAGGGGGTGGAGGAAGTTGTAGTTGAAGATGTCAATGAAGAGCAAAGTGGGGGAGAGGAGGTTTAAAGGTTGGTAGAATCTGATTATGAGATGGAGCATGAGCCAGTAGCTACTGGTGAAGCAGGTAGTCAACGGGTTAATTTTGATTTCAGATTTGGTGTATCAGATACGCAGCAAGTTAGGGATTCAGATACTGATTATGAAGACTCCGATGAGTTAAAAAGCATTCAAAGTGAAGATGAGTGTACAACTTCAAGAAACAGAGCTTTTACTGATGGTTTCAATGTGAGGACAAATATGGAGGATCCAGAGTTTAGAATAGGTTGGTTGAAGATTTTCTTTACTACAAATTAAATGTATTTTGTAATTTATTTTATAGAATCAAAGGCCCTAATATTTTTTTATCATGCAGGTTTGGTATTCGAGTCGAAGGCTATCTTGAAGGCTGCAATCACTGCACATTCAGTTAATAAAAATCGAGAGATCAAATACAAGAAGGATGATTCATACAGACTGAGAGCCATATGTAAGGGGGATTGTCCGTGGTTGTTATATGCTACAAAAGAGCATAACAAGACAAGCTTTGTGATTAAAACTTTTATCGAAGAGCATACTTGCCCTATGGTGTATAGGAACTTCAGAGTGAGCTCAACCTACCTGGCTGATAGGTACTTATCCGATTGGAGGGCTGAACCAAACATGTCAGTTAGTACATTCATGGAGAGGGTGAAAAAGGATGGTTTGGGTGATATCTCCCCTTGGCAAGTGTACAGAGCAAAGGAGAAAGCACTTGAAAAAATTCGAGGTAGTGTGATTGAGCATTACAGAGTACTATGGGATTATTGCGAGGAGTTGAAGAGAACAAACGTTGGAACAACTGCTTTAGTTGAGGGATATGCCGGTGAATTCAGACGACTGTACATTTGCCTTGGAGCATTGAGGGACGGTTTCATTAGGGGCTGTAGAAGGTTGATTGGGTTAGATGGTTGCTTTTTGAAGACAGAGCATGGTGGGCAGTTATTATCTGCAGTTGGTGTGGATGCTAATAATGGTATGTACCCAGTGGCGTATGCAGTTGTTGAGGTTGAGAACGGGGATAACTGGAGATGGTTTTTGGGGTTGTTAAAGGACGATTTACATATAAACAATAGTCAGCATTGGACATTTATTTCTGATAAGCAGAAGGGGTTGGTTAATGCAATTGAGTCTTTGTTCGAGAATTCGGAGCATAGAACATGTGTTAGACATTTATACAATAATTTTAGTGCCTCACACAAGGGATTGGCTTTGAAGAATTGTCTGTGGGATGCAGCCAGAGCGACTACTGTATTGCAGTGGGTTCACCACATGCAGCGGATGTTAGACATAGACCAGGCTGCGTATGAATGGCTTGAATCAAAACCAGCATCTTATTGGAGTAAATCCCATTTCAGAGAGGGAAACAAATGTGACATGCTTCTCAACAATTTATGTGAATCATTTAATAGTACAATTGTCAATGCAAGAGAGAAGCCCATTTTGACCATGCTAGAGGAGATTCGGATTTATTTGATGAAGAGAATTGTTATCCGTAGAGAGTT